GATACCAGAATAAAAATACAGTATGATGTACTGCTGTTATGATACCAAAATATAAATACAGTTTGATGTACTGCTGCTATGATACCAGAATATAAATACAGTTTGATGTACTGCTGCTATGATACCAGAATAAAAATACAGAACGATGTACTGCTGCTATGATACCAGAATAAAAATACAGTATGATGTACTGCTGCTATGATACCAGAATAAAAATACATTGTGATGTACTGCTGCTATGATACCAGAATGAAAATACAGTATGATGTACTGCTGCTATGATACCAGAATGAAAATACAGTATGATGTACTGCTGCTATGATACCAGAATATAAATACAGTTTGATGTACTGCTGCTATGATACCAGAATAAAAATACATTATGATGTACTGCTGCTATGATACCAGAATAAAAATACATTATGATGTACTGCTGCTATGATACCAGAATGAAAATACAGTATGGTGTACTGCTGCTATGATACCAGAATGAAAATACAGTATGATGTACTGCTGCTATGATACCAGAATATAAATACAGTTTGATGTACTGCTGCTATGATACCAGAATAAAAATACATTATGATGTACTGCTGCTATGATATCAGAATAAAAATACAGAACGATGTACTGCTGCTATGATATCAGAATAAAAATACATTATGATGTACTGCTGCTATGATACCAGAATAAAAATACATTGTGATGTACTGCTGCTATGATAACAGAATAAAAATACATTGTGATGTACTGCTGCTGTGATACCAGAATAAAAATACATTGTGATGTACTGCTGCTATGATAACAGAATAAAAATACAGTATGATGTACTGCTGCTATGATACCAGAATAAAAATACATTATGATGTACTGCTGCTATGATAACAGAATAAAAATACAGAACGATGTACTGCTGCTATGATACCAGAATAAAAATACAGTATGATGTACTGCTGCTATGATAACAGAATAAAAATACATTGTGATGTACTGCTGCTATGATACCAGAATATAAATACAGTTTGATGTACTGCTGCTATGATAACAGAATAAAAATACATTGTGATGTACTGCTGCTGTGATACCAGAATAAAAATACAGTATGATGTACTGCTGTTATGATACCAGAATAAAATACAGTATGATGTACTGCTGCTATGATACCCGAATATAAATACAGTTTGATGTACTGCTGATATGATATCAGAATAAAAATACAGAATGATGTACTGCTGCTGATAACAGAATAAAAATAAGGGATGATATGTATCTGTAAATCTATTAATGATATAATATTGATTTAAGATAAAACTGTCTTTGATCTGAGATTACATCTGCTGTTATCATCTCCTGCAGCCATTTTTGATCTCAATATAATAAACAATATAATATTCTATAACAACAATACTAATATTTTATTACATGTTATTGTCAACATTCTATCAGATTGAAAGTTTATGGCCTTGATCATTAATTTATGTGAGATAAATCTTCAAAACCCAATGCAGTCCTATGTGTTGATAATTTTCAGTATTCCTATCTTAAATGTCACTAAGTTGCCTATTTTAATGTTCAATAGCTTTCATATTTTCTGACAGGTCAATCTTTTTGATTTTTACATACAAAAATCTATTACAGCAATACTTGAGTACTCCAAATTAATTTTCAAATGTAAACTGATGCTCAACGATGTAGACTATTACTTGTATTGAACATAATGTTTGGAGAGAAATTGATGAAAATTGAAGCTTCATGGAATTTCAAGGCAGATTTAATGACAAGGATTAAAATGTGTCAAATTGATATGAAAAGGAAGTACAGACTGCCTGTACTTAATCAAATATTTAGTCTAATTACCCAGCTTCTCTATATTACACAGTCTAGGACATGAATAGACATCACAACTGATCTGACAAATCAGATTCAAGTTGATAACGTCTGATTTGTCCCAAGTACACCATCAACTTGTTCAAAATAAATAGTCTAACTCACTAAGCGTGTAACAAAACAAACACACAAATAAAACAGATACCAAACAGTTGTGAAAGAAAATAAACCAATCAAAAGTCAATAAACGATTGGAGGTAAATTTGTGTGTAAACTTAGATGTCTACACTATGTGCCAAAAATGTAACTTCCAATATGGCTATTTTGAATGTCAAACTCACAAATTTACTGTTGACCCAATATGAACATATTGTATTTTACTGCACATTTTTTCCACTTCCTGTTGTACCAAATAAGTCTAGACCAACACATATGTAACTAAAATATAAACTGTGCTTTCACATCTTTAACAATGTAAAGTAGATTTTTAGTCATTTAAGTGGTGCAGACAAGGGGGCACCATATTTCATCAGAAGATCTCTTGTCTATGAATGCTGGAAATGACCTTCATATTTGCAAAAATCCCTGGGGAATCACTTGGATAAAGAAGGCCTATATTTAATTTGCAAGTAAAAATAACAATTCAAATTTATTGCATAAGATGTTAGGTCTCAGATCATTCTAAATGACATCTATGTGCTTCTTAAACTTAAAAATTCACCCTTCTCCCCCTTATTCAAGATGAGTACTACTGGAAAATGATTACTGCAAGTCACTTATGTACATCTGAAACAGTTCTCCAATGTATATGTATGTGATCCCATCAATGCTGTATTTGGATAAGTGACAGTTCTAAAAGGATATTTACTTTATCCATAATCTCTTGAGACTCCAACATATTATTCTAGTTTCAATCAATCTTTTAATGTTAATTTATTTAACAAATATTGACATGACATTGATCGCATTCACAACGTCGTCTTCTTTATACATTTCATCTTTAATTCTAGTGGGAAAACAATTCTTGAGACATTTTTTAGAAAGGTCTTCTTTAAAATAAGAAAAAATATCACTGTTTGCAAATTTTTTGTACAGTTTTCATAAATAGAAAGACATAATAATGTGAGAAATTCTTAACGGGAACTCAGGGGCTAGAGAAAGATAGTCTAGCTGGTGATGTTTTGTGTGATAATTACAACATTCCACTGATTACACCTTTTCACATGTCTGTTTATTTACTAAATATGACAACTTCATGTTTAAACAAACCTGAAACTCACTTTTCAGTCTCTATCATGTCAATAGACAAATTTATTGGAAAATTGTTTTCTCGCTTTTATGTTCATTATCCCATTTTAAAGTAAAATTAAACCATTATTTGAGTTTCATTCGTTAATCAAAAATCGAATGTGTCAGATGTTTCAGCGAGAAAGTGCCCTGTTCCAAAAAAAATCTTTGATCAATTTTGACTTAAGTATTATTAACAGTTATGTTCTTTTTCATGTATATTAGTATGGTGCTTATATTATTTTAATGTAATAAGCTATTGTACATCTAGAACTATTGTCCAAAACAATTGCAATTTCTCATTGCTGATAAAAACAATTTCCAAATGAGATTGTTTTATAAAATTTTGCACTTAAAACAAATGATGAATTTATATATTAAGACAAGAATTTATGAAAAAACAAACATTAACATCTGGTAAATATTTCTATCTGACATTAGATGATTGATGAATATGACTCAATCAAAGGCCAAGCAGTAGACTATTTTTCCTATTGAGATTGACATCATATAATATGCAGAATATCAGCCACACCCACATTCAATTGTGTAAATTTCTTTTGACACACAAATTTTTGCAAATAACTTTATTTTACAAAACTGAAATGGAACATTCTCAGACAGTAAAACTGTATCTCAATATTTTGTATTAGTCTATTTTGATAGACATTGAAGAAAATGGCCTACTAATGTGGAATCTTTTGTGGTGAACTAATCAATGATATCATATTACAGTTTTAAAAATCTGTCAAACAAATTTTAGCATTTTGTCCCTATTTACTTGCCACAATGGGGCATTTTAATGGTATATTAACAAAAAAATGAAAGAGAATTTCCCCCACAAATCCAACCTACTCCAACAATTTTCATTTATGTGGGAACTTCATATTGGATAATGACTTTATTATGTCAAACTAGCCCCCATAAGTATACAGTAGGTCCATTATTATTCTATACAATACTATAGTAATGTGACTCAATCAAACTCTATAAGATTATCTTCAATGTAAATAAGAGCAAGGTGTATCACTTGTCAAGCAACTTTTTGAAAAGCAATCAATAGACATAAAAATCGGTCAAATATGTTGACATAATCTAGGGTATTATTCTAAACATGCCAGGCAGTAAAAATATCTTCTATTGATAAGACATGGCCTAAATAAGTGGAGAAATATTTGTCATCTAATAAAGAGAATACACAATATATCTCTGAGGAGTTCTTCATTATTCTCTCAAGTGTTGTGGTATTATCATTATTTTCTGTGTAAACCTATCCTTTATAGGAGTGAGACTGGGAATATATCATGGTTAAAGATGCCTACCCTTCATTATTTCTCCCACTCTCATAATTTTTTGCCTCTTTTGTCCTCCATCGGAGTACGCACAATGGATACATCTTAATCAGAATAATTCTGTTCTGTTGCCAACTATCTACAGTCAAAAATAAAGCTAAGACATTTGGCCAGAAGTGTTGTTTACAAATTATTCTAAATTATGTTCAAAGAACATTTCATCAAGGCCAGTCTAGCTCTTAACTAAGCTCAAGAAACTAAAAATCACCAATACTCTAAATAGTTGGATGTTTTCAAAATTGTTATGTTCAATTTAAAAATCAGTCACCCAAATGAACACATATTAATAGATGCTCCAGTACTGTTAATATTAGTACTGTTAATATTAACTATGATGACTCTCTTAAAGAGGGCAATATTCATTTCCTAGTGATCAAATACAGTTAACAACTATAACTAGTAAAATATACTCATCATACTGAATTATACATTAACTCAATTTATTGTTAAGTTAACACACGGCAGCGTTTTTTAATGAAGGTATTCATCATTGATGATGAACTGTTAGTCAGGTAAGATATAGTATTCACTCACCTTTCCGTTTCTTCCATAGTAAAAATCCTATTATTCCTATTACTAATAAAACAACAGCTAAAGTTCCAAAAATACTGGCAACAACAACAACCGCAACATCGCATTCAGCAGCAGAACACATCCCAAATAACAGGCAGAAACTTAAAACATAAACAAACATTTCCATTGTAAAAGTTTTGAGATTTTGTATCCAGTTAACTTTAATTAAAATCTATTGGCTATATTGCCCTACTCTATAACACTTAAACATTCATTGAAATTATCTCACAAAATTCCAATATTACAACAACATATATCCATTGATTATTTTGATAGTGTTTGATAATATATCACTCCAACACACTAATTATATCCTCATATCTAGCAGTTCTGAAGATAAATGTTGACCGGTGTGTAACAGGTATAAGTTAACGATAGTGTACCGTTAGCCCGCTCTACCTACCGTGTGCTATAATGGTGGCGAACAATGAGCTGTTCGTTCTACAGGTAAAACGAGATAGTCGTCGTGCTTGAATGCCAATGGGACATGTCTCTATTCAAGTCAACACAAACGAAGGAATGCAAGCCATTCACGTCATAATTTAAAAGAATATAGCCACTCTCTACAAGTGTAGATTTATAGTTTTGTTGAATGTAATAAGAGTGTTTAGTTGTATAAAGTATATCAGATGTTGATTATGATTTCATTTGACTCATGGAAGATTGATATAGTTGATAATCGATACTTATTATTCAATCACCTTTTACAATCTGTTTGCCTTTACCCACTCTTTTACTATATCTACTTCTCATTGAAGAACCTCATACCAAGCATACACTTACTCTGACTCTTTCAGGACTTGTAGATGAATATAAAGTTGAAAATAGAGAGAGAAACTGACTTCGTGAGTTTCCTAACGATAAAATCATCACAGTGACCAAAAACCAGAAATGACCACCTAGAATCTGAAAGAGTAACGAATCCAGATGTCAGAATATATAAATCACTAAATGTATAGAATCCGTTATGACAAGGGTATCTCGACCCTAGAAAAATCAGATTGTCAAAAAACAACTATCTTGAACCTTATAGAATAACAGGTGTCAAAATATGACTCAATATAAAGAATCCAATATAGCAGAGGTATCTCGGTGCTAAAATTCCGTCTTCATTAGCCTACATAGTGCAGGAAAGTAGAACGTAAAACTCAATTCATTTCATTTCATTTCGGTCCTAGAATTAATGTCCAAATTCAAATCCGTGTGTGTCCAGAATTATCCGCGTTTGAATGTTAAAATAACGACTCGTCATTGATTGAGACTCTGCCATATATTAGAAAAGACAAGAAAAGAAATTCCTTCTTTGGGGTATTTATGAACGATCTTTTCGATTTGTGTACATTTCAATTACTTTCAAAGACTATTTACATGTTTTCGAGACCCCCGAATTTGTCCCTTTAAGGTAGGTTAATGCCCGAGTCCAAGTCCGTCTAAATCAGTGGTGCTACCAGTAAAGTACTATCTCTCATATTTATGTAACCAGCACTTTAATCATTGTGACATATTTCAGTACTAAATTATCAATATATTTTGACCTTTTCAATGTTCAATATTACTGTATTCGACAATTTGTCAATGTTACTGCATCAAGGAGTCAGTAAGTAAGACGCGTATCGCTAACCTGAAGATCTAGGGTTCAATTCCAGCATATGTCGAGATAATAACTTTTTTTCAATCTGGTTTCCCCTGTCAGTGATCCAGGTAAGAGTGGCTGCCATGGAAAGGGCATCTTCTTTTTCGGGTTGGACAAAAATCCGAGACTCTATGTGCTACAAGCTTTGCACGTTAAGAATCCATCGACATTTGAAAATCGAAAAAGAGTAATCAAATGCCACTGTCCTTGCGAAATTAAACATCATTGCTCAATGCATGTCGTTTCTCGTCCTCATTAGCCCAACACAGGTGCAGAATTTAATTTTATTTCCATCCATAGGAATCTTGATCCTGGCCACATTGAGCCAAATGAAAATAAATCCATAGTGAATCACCATAATTGAAGATCACAATTTGTTAACTCTTTCTGAAATGGGCACTCAAGATGTTGAAGAATGTAGTTAATTAAGGGACATGAAATGTATAATATATGTTAATCTTGCTGTAAATAAATTGTTGAATGAATGAAAGTGATAATGAGGTCAAGGTATTTAGTTTGTCGTCATCTATAATACCTGTATTCAATACTATACAGAACAAATTTATACTGTTGTCGGTTCACTTTGACATACCCGTATTGCAATTATAAACAGTTTTCTGTTTGTTGACGGACGAGCAATGTGATAAATAAAAGTCACCATTATACATCTGTGAAAAAGCCTACGCTATCAGCTTCTGTTGGAAGCGGACGTTAAGTTGTCATCTTCCAATGAAACATCATCTATGAAAATTCCTATATTCTTCTTTGCTGATCTGTTCTGCCATATATAATGTCCACGTTAATGGTTTACATTTATATTAAACTTGACCTATCTGGTTGATTTTTATATCACTATGAGGATCGGCGTTGCAGAGTTCTTAATATCGTATGAAAAGAGCTATGTCAAATGTCAGAGCGAGATAGATAGAAAATTTCCCCAATTTAAATCTAGCTTGATCGGTTGATTGGTCAAGCTTTTAGTTTAAGTATTAACTTATGAAATACCTACTGTTAAATTAGGCTGAACACCTTAATATAAATACTTAACATTGTCAATCTAAACCCTTTATCATCGGCTAAGCGTCGAAGCAAGGAGGTGTAAAGGATTAGAACGATTTTCCCAGGCCTCTGAGATTCAAGGCAAATCTGGTTCCTCTGAGATTCAAGATAGATCTGGAGTAACCACAACCACTTTTTTGACGCTTAAAAAAGAAAAAAGAACACTCTCCACCAAAATTGTCGACATATATACCATTTCTCTTAGCAATCAATCAAATGAATACCGCATAAACGGTCTATTTGATGCGAAGAAAATTTTCAAAGATGGTTTTATAGATCCTGAAAAATACCAATGTTTTGCCCGTGTGGGTATTTTGGAGATGAACTAGCATTCCTCATCGCAGATATATTGCAAGACAACACAAATAAGCATCAAATTATCAAGCCAAACAACTTTATTTTTGTTAATTGAATACCCTTACAGATTAAAAAACAAAATCCACAGAGGCATGACGAAAAAAATGGTACTGAATCTTCTGTTTAGCTTCAGAGTCAAAGGAAAACCTAAAGCGTCGTAACAAATTAATCTTTCTTATATATTATCTTAAATCTCGTTTTAGATATTATCACATTTTCAGGACAGTATCAGTTGTAGCACATCTCGTGAGTAAGGACCTTATATTTCTGGAACGTTGCAAACTTCAATTATTTGGGTAGGTATATAAATACAGAGATAAATACCGTACGTGTATAAAGGGTTTTGAATGTATTGGAATATAGAAATATGATTTGTGGAAGAAGCACGCTATTAATTGATCAAGTCTTGGTCTCCAAATATAATCCTGCCTCTTGTTTCTTGTCAATCAACTTCTAGTACCATCCAATGTATTAATTTGAACCATAATCTTCACAATAGTTTACAAGCTGATTAGGTTTCTGACCAATGTTATTTTAGGTCTTCATGATTATAGCTAGCCATGTCATTGGTATATCAACATTTTCTGATATCGTGGTATTAAAGACGAGTCAGCTTTAAAAAAAATTATTATAATTGGGTTTAACGGGTTTGTATTGAATGATTCCTTTGAGCTACACCAAAAGCTTGTGTTGGCATTCATAACAGCCTTGGTTACATGATAGAGAATATGTACATGATTTCAAATATTTCCTCACATTATGATCTTAGCTGATTACATGAGTAGAAAATGCATCAAGTTATCTACCAAGAAACACTTCTTTGATGTGGTAATTCGGTTCTTTTTAAGATAATTCTATGGGGATAAAATTTGTGTGTGTCCTGACACATTAACACAAGATTTGCTTCTGAAGTTTAACGAGTTCAAACTGCATAGAATACAAAGTAAGGGGAGTATTTACAGTACTTTTGTTTGAAAGTGAATGATTCTGGTGGTGTATGTTGTTAGTAAACGATTCAAACCTGACAAGCCTTATTTAAGCTTTATTTTTTCACCGCAGTGTTGATTTTAAGATTTGACTTCTGTATGCTGGCCGCCATTTTCCGCCTTCCATCATTTGGTATTGTCAATTTGACATTATGACACTTTGTTATTTGTAAAATTCTCTTAAAGTATGTTAGAATTAACTCCAGTGTCAGCATTCTTGCATAATCGACTTGGTGAATAATACATGTTGGTAAGAATACATTACAAGACTATCTTTCATCATACATAGTAATCATTGTAGGTAGCTTATGTTGTACTTGATTTTTAATTGGATCCAAAATCTTGCTAAAAAAGCAGCCATGGAGTATGTCTTTACTTTACCATTACGAATTGATCTTGCGACAAAATAACTCACGTTAATGACAAAATATGAAATGTAAAAAAATCACCACCGACTGATTACAATGCATAACGCCCTGTGAAACAAGCCTGAAACAGCAAGAGTTTATTGTGACCTATTATTCAGGAATGTCATATACACTGATAACAAAGCTATTCTTTTACTTTTTTAATATAAATGTAAATAAGGAGAGACTATTTATGGCATGACACAAGAAATATTTTACCTGAAGTTTATCATAATGTATTGATTAATATTCAACCCTTATCATATTTAATCACTTTTTCAACGGTCAGTTGACCGTTGAGGTTGAGTTGACCGAAGGCCTTCAGAATAGACAAATATTAGATTAGAATTAATTCTGTATAAAGAATGACAACCTATAGTTTGGTCGTCAAAAGAACAGCTAATAAAAGTCAACCGTGTTTGTTCTTAATGAAATTCTATTGATGTTATCAACAGGTGTTTGTCCTTTGATTTCTGTCTTTAATCAAAAAGTAAATCACTTTCATTGAATGCCTTGCTTGCCTAATTGACCAAAACAAATGTTCAACACATTTCAAGTGTAATAAGCGAAATTTAATTGCACAAGATTTGAAAAATCAACGCCGACCAGATTTGTTAAGGAAATTATAAATGGTATTTCAACGAGCTAGACACATGTTTACTTACTTACTGGTTTTCCCAAAGAA